ATGCCTGAGTGCCAACCTCAGGGCAGACTATTAAAAAGCAGGTCAGAAACCCCAACTGGTGGTATGTTCTGTCACTAGACTTCACCAACCCAGTAACAAGTATGAACTCCTACAGCACTACAACAGACAGTCCCCTGGGGTGTTCCAGTCTATCATGTCACCCAGGCAAGCTGGACCATATGATAGATGATCACTTTACTCCTAAAAATCACATCAATATTCAGGTTACTCCCAGTCCTAAAGGGCCAGTCACTTACCCCAGGTGAGCTGTACTCAGATCTCAAACCAAAGACACACCTGTAGCCAATACTGTGTTAAACTAACTAAAGATTTATTAACTAAGAAAAGAAATCAGAGAGTAATGTGCAAGGTTAAAACAGGAAACATACACAAATGTGTTAGTCTTCAATTTAAAAAGGTAGTATAAGCTTCTGTAATAAGCAGCTCTGTAAGTTCTTTAGGGCTGACCCATGCCAACCAGCATGTGAATCTCTTGCTTATGTTTAGGAATCTTTGCCCTTCAACAGTCCGGACAGCATAACGAGACCCAGATTCTCCTTATCATGGATTTTTATCCTCCCTTCAACACAGAATCCAAGCTGATGGGGTAAGTTCATGTGCAGGACTCCTCTTCCTGGAGGGAGTGAGGAATGCAATCAACAAAGTCTCAGTCCTATGATGCTACACAATGCTTCATTTGCCTTCTTGTATGCAGGTCAAGCATTTTACTTTAAGTAATGCTTCTTTTCCTGTTTACTGAGTTACACAATTACAGATGTTTAAAATACAAACACTCAATATAACTTTATACCATGGGATACAGATATTATAAGTAGGATTAATACATGCAGCATCCTACAGGCATTCCATAAAATCTAAACACTAAACACATTCTTATAATATTAATATCTAGTGTAACTATACTAACCCACAGATAAGGCAGACTGGTTTCTAGATACGTATTTGTTAGTGTTCATTGAAGCCCTGGGCCATGGCATGAGCTAGCATCTGGTCTGCCAGCATCACACTCTCAGTGGTGTCTCTGGCTGTCTAGGACTTTATTACCACTGCCACCATGTTTTACACTTTATTGTGTTTGGATCATCTGCCGTATAAGATCTCATTCTGACACAGGGTTAATTAACAAACTCCAGCTTTATTGTGGCTGCTTACAACAGGGCTTCTTCAGCCTCATGGCCTCTTAGACAGATCCTCAATAGATGTCACTTCCAAACAGTTCCCCCAGGAAACAGCAGGCTGCCTGAAAGTGTCTGCTAGCACTTTCATATTGTTACAGTTTGGGTGAGAGTGGGATATGTTTGGGCATGTCCATTTGCCTCTTGTAAAAGGGTAATTTCAGGTGTTAATTAAATTGTATAATATACCCACAGACATGTAGACAACGCACATCTTAGACGTCTAATAAACACATTTAGACATCTCTGGGTTTCTTAGCATTTCAGGTAGTTTTATCTCTGTCAAGTGAAATGAACCCTTCCCTTCTTTTATTAAGTAGTTTAAACTAACTAAAACAATAGAGGCTTACTCCCATATTGAGACTGTGATTGAGGAGTTTCCTTCCAGAGCAAGTTTTCAAAGCAGTCTCTGACAGTGACACAGAGCAAGGTGTAAAAAATCCAACAGTAAATAGATGTAGGATAATCTGCCTTCCCCTGCTCCACTTGAGGTCTAATCCTAATCTCTAAAATCTGAAGCATTAGGTTTAATGTACCTTCAAAAATTTGTATTGCAAATCAAGAATCTTTCATCCTTAGTCTGAGCCCCTGAAGTCTATACAAGTTTTACAACAGCAGATATTTATTAGCAACTCAAGCTATTTTAACATTTCTACACATCAAGCAAATAGAAGGAAGAAACAAAATACTGCATACTGCTCACTATATTTAGACCCAAATAAATAGCTCTGTACAATCATGGAAAAAATAATCTGAATACTGAAGAACTTTAATGTTTAAAAATGTAAAAGGGATTGGGGTGGGATCAAGGACAATTATTAAAAGGTAAAAAAATTCCTTCTAAATCATACAAACATCCAGTTTACTGAGCAACAGCAGATTTGTATGGTGGTGACTAACACAGTAACAGAAGAAGAGCAGAAGTCATCACCTTTATAGCTCTTACCTGTTAAAGTACATTTCCTCACATGAAAAGGGAGAGGAACTGAAAATCAAACAGGTGCAGGAAGAAAATGCTGAACTATTAGTTCTTACTCTAGTTACTTTCCATTACAAGTCTCTGGTGGTCTATGCAGGCAGATGATTACTGAAAATTACTCCAAAATATGTTACAAATGCATTGAGATTTCCTGAAATTTTAAGTGCAGATGTAGCTTTCTAGCTGGCTGTCAGTGATGTCACAACCATGTAAGAAATCCCAAGTAAGTACAAGTACTAAATGCAGAAATTTGTAGTAAATGCAATTCCTAGTAAAATTCGAACATTTCATTTAAAGATGGGATAAGCTAGTTAAGAAGAATTCCTGTGTTATTGACTATGTTGGCTAGATGTATTACAGAAGAAGATCATTTTGTTTTCAACTAAACTACAGGAAGCAGGATACCAGACTAGATCTGTGGTCTGATGTCAGTGAACATCTTGTAGGTGTTTGTCTCCGACAGAGACAAACACCTACAAGATCTCTATCAAGCGTTCTTACAACTACAGTACCCACCTGCTGAAGTGAAGAAACAGACTGACAGAGCCAGAAGAGTACCCAGAAGTCACCTACTACAGGACAGGCCCAACAAAGAAAGTAACAGAACGCCACTAGCCATCACCTTCAGCCCCCAACTAAAACCTCTCCAATGCATCATCAAGGATCTACAACGTATCCTGAAGGACGACCCATCACTCTCACAGATCTTGGGAGACAGGCAAGTCCTTGCTTACAGACAGCCCCCCAACCGAAGCAAATACTCACCAGCAACCACACACCACACAACAGAACCACTAACCCAGGAACCTATTCTTGCAACAAAGCCCGTTGCCAACTGTGTCCACATATCTATTCAGGGGACACCATCAGAGGGTCTAATCACATCAGCCACACTATCAGAGGCTCGTTCACCTGCACATCTACCAATGTGATATATGCCATCATGTGCCAGCAATGCCGCTCTGCCATGTACATTGACCAAACTGGACAGTCTCTACGTAAAAGAATAAATGGACACAAATCAGACGTCAAGAATTATAACATTCAAAACCAGTCGGAGAACGCTTCAATCTCTCTGATCACTCGATTACAGACCTAAAAGTGGCAATTCTTCAACAAAAAAACTTCAAAAACAGACTCCAACGAGAGCTGCTGAATTGGAATTAATTTGCAAACTGGATAAAATTAATTTAGGCTTGAATAAAGACTGGGAGTGGATGTATCATTACACAAAGTAAAACTATTTCCCCATGTTTATTCCCCCCCCCCCCCACTGTTCCTCAGATGTTCTTGTCAACTGCTGGAAATGGCCCACCTTGATTATCACTACAAAAGTCCCCCCCGCCCCGCTCTCCTGCTGGTAATAGCTCATCTTACCTGATCACTCTTGTTACAGTGTGATTGGTAACACTCATTGTTTCATGTTCTCTGTGTATATAAATCTCCTCACTGTATTTTTCACTGAATGCATCCGATGAAGTGAGCTGTAGTTCACGAAAGCTTATGCTCAAATAAATTTGTTAGTCTCTAAGGTGCCACAAGTCCTCCTTTTCTTTTAGTGAACATATTGTGCTCAGAAAGCTTTACTGATCCTGAAACCTTTTTTACTGTCCCACAAATAAAGCACCTTTGCATCATTTTTTTCCACTTTCAGGTGGAATAAAACATTGTCTTGTACATTTCAAGTATGAAACTAATACAGTGGCTGAAGGATTCAAGAAGCAGGGGAAAGAGGTATTGTAGTATTAAAAAAGGCAGTATCTCATCTTGTGCTAATCGGTTGAAAACAGCTGCATCCCACAGAACAGCCGTAAAGTGCCAACCTTTCAATAGTATACAGCAGTTGTTTCTATTCTTAATTCTTTGTGAGGTAAGAATTTATATGTATGTCAGTCCTTCACTGTGCCTTCAGTCCAGCAGGGGTTTTTGGAACTGGCTCCAGGAAGGAATACTGAAAACCCAGAATAATTCAAACCACAGTATTTTTCAATCCCTAGATGTAACAATTCTGCTGCTACACTTGGTGCTAAATTATCACACTATCATGTTTTGTCCTAAATAGTTGTACACACAGAAGCATTTTAAAATTTGTTCATTTTAAAACTATCACCTTTGAGTAATCAAAATTCCTGAAACACTTTGATATGTGGCACTAACCAGAAATGAAATTACTTTCAGCAAATCCTAGTTTCAAGTAAACAATTCTGTCAATCTGAAGTTAGATATTTAAAGTCAAGATTTTTTTCTAGGTTGATCTAAACTATGGAATTAGTATGTGAGTTCCTTCTTGAAAATAATGTTTATTCTGACAAATAGAAAAAAATATTTGAATGATCTGATTATGACACACAGATTTGGAGGACCAGCAAAGTTATATCCCAAGTCAACATATGAATGAACATCTCAAATACATTGAGATGTGATATGTTTATAATTAAGAACAAAAACTAAGTATTGGAGATTGTATTTCTTCCAAAACTGTAAGGGTAAAATTCATTTCCATGCAAAGAGCTAGGATATTTATACTGCATGTAGACTGGATGCACAGGAGCACCACTCTGTGCACTGCAGGGTCTCCATGCATGCAGCTGGAGAAAGAGGGAAACCGTGGGATCCAATTGTTCCACTGCAACAGGGGGGTAGGGAGTTAGAAGAGGGCTGCAGCTACTCTAGACCATAGACTACAGTAGTGGCCATAAAGAGGTTGGGTTGAAGCCTTTTGGCCTGTTCATAATGAATTCTGTCCCCTAACTTGTCTAACTCCGTACCCAAAGTGGGAGGTAAATTGCACCGTAGTATTTTATATACGTAAACCATACACTTACTGTCTAAACTCAGCAAGGAGAAAAATTTCTTGCACTGAACCGAACCCAAGGCAGTAGCTGCACAGTTCATCCAGAGGCCTTCGTAAATCCAGTTTGCAGTAATAACTGCTGTTGCAGTACTGGAAATTTTCCATCTGTTGGACACAGTCGTAACAAGTAAAATGATGAGCCCCGCCAAAGCCAGAAGCAGTGCAGAGATTTGTAAAGATGATGATGCCATTTCTTGGTTTTCAAAGTAGCCCCCCAAAATTCAGATATCAGAAACCTATTAAAATAGTTTAAATACATGCAATAGATCAGATTATATTTACATTAGTCACATTGCCTATGCTTCATGTAAACTACAAGCTAACAGTGAAAAGATTAGCAAAATTATTTTACAGTATACCTGATAGTTAAAGTTTGATCATTTCTTTGGAAATCAAGTAAAAGTATTCCAACTAAACCATGACATTTGTTCCATATTGTTAGGTTTCTACATCTTTATATGTTTACCATAAAAAACAGATACTCCAATACTCTGAGTTTGCAATGTGTCTCTTGTTACAACACTGCCATTTCACTAGTTTACAAACTCAGTTTGTTTTTTAAATTAAGGCAATCAAATACAAGAATAAAAATAATTAAACTGAATCAATTTATACTTTATCACATTACACTACATAGATTCAAATTTCAAACAAAATAATGTTGACACTTACGTTTACAGATACTGTATGTTTTCTGCTTATTTCAGTTGCCTTTCTGCTAGATGGTAATGTCAGCACTTTGTGAGACTCAGTTTGGTCAAACACAAAGTTTGCACTGTATTAGGACCTTCCCCCCTGTACTAAAAATCAAGGCCTCACTGCCAGATCATTGACTAGTGGATAAGAGTTCATAGTATTACACTACAGGCTAGCTTCAGTAATATGAACAAATTAAATTAAACAAATTAAAATCAATCATAATGGTAGAGAAGCTCATTGCCAGAGGTTTTCAAACTATTCTGGGGATCACTTGAGGTAAGAGCTGATTGCTCACATGGTGTCAGCTTCCCTTTGTTTCTTGCTGTTAAATTGCATTAAAAGACAGAAAAATATGTTTAATACGCCCTAATAGGGCTGTCGATTAATCACAGTTAACTCACACGATTAACTCTAAAAAATGCATCACAATTAAAAAAATTAATCGTGATTAATCACAGTTTTAATCATACTGTTAAACAATAGAATACCAATTGAAATTTATTAAATATTTTGGATGTTTTTCTACATTTTCAAATATATTGATTTCAGTTACAACACAGAATACAAAGTGTATAATGCTCACTTTATATTATTATTTTTTATTAATATTTGCACCATAAAAATGATTAACAAAAGAAATAGTATTTTAAATTCACCTCATATGAACTACTTTAATGCAATCTCTTTATCGTGAAAGTGCAATTTACAAATGTAGATTGTTTTTTCTTACATAACTGCACTCAAAACAATGTAAAACTTTAGAGACTACAAGTCCACTCAGTCCTACTTCTTTGTTCAGCCAATAGCTAAGACAAAAAAGTTTGTTTACATTTATGGGAGATACTGCTGCCTGCTTATTTACAATGTCACCTGAAAGTGAGAACAGGCGTTCGCATGGCACTGTTGTAGCCAGCATTGAAAGGTATTTACGTGCCAGATATGCTAAACATTCACATGCTCCTTCATGCTTTGGCCAGCATTTCAGAAGACACACTTCCATGCTGATGATGCTCATTAAAAAAATAAGGCATTAATTAAATTTGTGACTGAACTCCTAGTGGGAGAACTGTATGTTTCCTGCTCTGTTTTACCTGCATTCTGCCATATATTTCATGTTATAGCAGTCTCTGATGATGACCCAGCACATGTTGTTTGTTTTAAGAACACTTTCACTGCAGATCTGACAAAACGCAAAGAAGGTACCGATGTGAGATTTCTAAAAATAGCTACAGCACTCAACCCAAGGTTTAAGAATCTGAAGTGCCTTCCAAAATCTGAGAGGGAAGAGGCGTGGAGCATGCTTTCAGAAGTCTTAAAAGAGCAACACTCCAATGCAGAAACTACAGAACCCAAATCACCAAAAAAGAAAACCAACCTTCTGCTGGTGATATCTGACTCAGATGATGAAAATGAATATGCGTCAGTCTGCACTGTTTTGGACTGTTATTGAGCAGAACCCGTCATCAGCATGGATGCATGTCCTCTGGAATGGTGGTTGAAGCATGAAGGGACATATGAACCTTTAGTACATCTGGTATGTAAATATCTTGCAACACCAGCTACAACAGTGCCATGCGAACACCTATTCTCACTTTCAGGTGACATTGTAAACAAGAAGCAGGCTGCATTATCTCCTGCAAATGTAAACAAACTTGTTTATCTGAGTGATTGGCTGAACAAGAAGTAGGACTGAGTGGACTTGTAGGCTCTAAAGTTTTACATTGTTTTATTTTTGAATGCCTTTTTTGTACATAATTCTATATTTGTAAGTCCAACTTTCATGATAAAGAGATTGCACTACAGTACTTGTATTAGGTGAACTGAAAAATACTATTTGTTGCTTTTTACAGTGCAAATATTTGTAATAAAAATAAATATAAAGTGAGCACTGTACACATTGTATTCTGTGTTGTAACTGAAATCAATATATTTGAAAATGTAGAAAACATCCAAAAATATTTAAATAAATAATATTCTATTATTGTTTAACGTGTGATTAATCACACGCTTAACAGGGGTGTGGGCTTGACAGCTCTACTCCCCAGTAATAATTTTCCAAGGAAAAACTGTTATGTTACTGTGCAGCAAGCCAGTGCACTGTAGATTCACACCCTGTTATACAGATTAAAAATTCAGGTTCTGGCCCATAATTATGTACTCAGATCCCATTAATTATTTGGGAGTTTGGTTGCACAAGCTAAACAGGATTAGGCTCATTCTGTTTTTAAAATATTTCTATTCCACTAAAAAGGCTCAGCTCTACATTTCAGAGAGGAACATTTTTCTTCCAAACATTTCTACATTTTGTAATCTATTAAAATAAATATATTTAGTGATCCACTAAGAAAATTTGCAACAAATTATAAGCTTAATAGATGCAACGAGATCAAACAGGCTTTACACCAAACAATCAGACCAATAACCCAGATTAATGGGTTTTGTAGGCTACATAGCTATGGACCCAGGCAATCACTATTGATGCTTGATAGTAAGGATCATAAGATTAAAACTTTATATAATGCCCTACCCAACATTTTTAAATCTAGTCAAAGTTGGACATATATCCACCTTCATTAGAATGCAGTAATTCAAAACACTAGATTTTTGAAAGTCAAGAAATTCTGAGTTTAGGTTCTACAAACAACCTAAACTCTAACCCCATATCTACACCCAGCCTTCTCCTAGTACAGATGTAAGTACAATTTTAAGAATCTTTTCACCTCAGTGACTATAAGTATTAGTACTCCATGTTGGATGGATGTGATACCATCAGCTCCAAACAATATTTGTAGACTGAATAGAATAAAAGTGAATGTCTGGTCTGAATCTGGAGGATGTAGCATCAGTCATATTAGCAGGGTGGATAGATATAAGGTGGATGGAACAGACTGGGTTCTCTGAGTGGCGAGGTATGTGAGTATCAGATAAAAGATGTTTAGCTCTTTGGACCATTGCAGAGAAAAAGGTAGTGGTGTGGGGGTTAGAGCTATCCTAAGAATGGGATGCTGATATTTGTAACTCCTGAAGAATGAGTAAGTAAGAGGCGTGTCTTGTCTCCAAGTAATGTTGAGGAGTCAGATGGTTGGTCACAGGTTAATATGTAATATGGCAGGAGATAGAAGAGGTCTATAGCGCTTACTGGAAATATAGAGGTCTCCTATAGTAGGCAGTAGGTGGGGAAACAAGGCCAGAGTTTCCTATCTTTCAAATATTTAATTTTTCACCTGCAGCATTCAATGAGGTTTTGTTTAAGAGATAGTAGATAGAGTTTAATCCTGTTAAGGAAAAGTTAGCACATGTGACTCCATTTTGGTTTGGGGCCCACCATTGTTTAAATGCCAGCACATCATACACCAGGACTAATCCTTAGATATTGAATCCCTGTGAAAATCCTCCTCCTTGTCTCCAGCCTGCCTTGACTCCCAGTATCTGGTTTTTGTCAGTCTCTAACTCCCTGTCTCTTGGCCTTGATGTGAGGCCTCCCATCCTGATAATAAAAGTTACTGATGCATGGCTTTAGGACCATGCTTGTAATTAGCATACTGGTATAGCACGAGGAATGCACCAAGCAGGGATAGGTGGTAGATAAGACAAGGGTTTGTTTATTGGCTAAGGTTTCCGATGCACGAGGGCAACATGCTTTGCTAAAAGGTATATAACCTTTGTATAATCTGCATTCAGGGTCCCCTCCTGGCTAGCAGGGGGGCACCACGCTCGAGCGTAATAAACTTAGTGTCTTTTGGGAACTCTGCAGTTGTGGACTTTGTTTCTGTGCCTCAGCCTAGATTCGAACTGTGCGTTACCTATCAGGTATAATTCGCAACATTGGTGTGCGTGTCCTATCAGGTATAATTCGCAGCACTGGTTTGCGTGTCCTACAAGGTGTAATTCGTAGCACTTGTGTGCGTGTCCTATCAGGTATAATTCGCAGCAGTTGTGTGCGTGTCCTACAAGGTGTAATTCGTAACAATCCACAATAAGTTTTAAATATTCTCAATCGTTTGAAAGGCTGCAGAAATTCAAACATCTACAACTTCAACAGATGCCACTCTAGTCAATTACTTTTGAAATCAAAGGAGTGGTTTTTGACTCTCATTACTCTTGTTCTAACCCTTCTTGAAGAGTCACCTTCACACCACCCCTTCCCTGCCTTGCTATTATGATGCAATGTTGCTATGAAAGCCATCTCCAAAAGTGACAAGGTAGCTCGGTCTCCAAGCTCTATAGCTTTTCAGTGTCAACAAGATTGCCGGATTTGATGGCTGATTTGTTGTTGCTCTTGTACTTTTAATTATACAAAAATGTTTGTGAAAAGTGCTTGTTTGACAGCCCTAGAATTAAGTTATGAAGGCATTTGCAATGGAGACATTTACAAATGCTAATAATTGAATAATTAAGCACTGTTTACAGTGTTGTTGTAGCTGTGTTGGTCCCAGAATATGAGACAAGATGGGTGAGCTAATATCTTTTACTGGATAAAGCTCAAAAGCTTGTCCCTTCCAACAACAGAAGTTGGTCCAATAAAAGTTATTACCTCACCCACCTTGTCTCTCTAATAATTAAACCTGTTCTGGGACTATCCAAACAAGACTTTCGCATAATGTTCTGACAATAAAATCAAGGGAAGAGTCCAATCATCTAGCAGGGGCTGCTCTGCTGACCATATCAAATTAAGAACTACAACTTTATGAAAGGTTTCAGAGTAGCAGCCGTGTTAGTTTGTATTCGCAAAAAGAAAAGGAGTACTTGTGGCACCTTAGAGACTAACCAATTTATTTGAGCATGAGCTTTCGTGAGCTACAGCTCACTTCATCGGATGCATAAAAGTGAAAAGATTTTTCAAGCCTTATAGGAGGGCAAAGAACATTCTTGAGATTAGAAACTTCCTAACCAAAAACTTAAGTGGATTGCAGATATGACAGTAAAGGTTATAAAAGAAAAATATTAAGGCTGGAAAAAAAAGTTAGTGAATTCTGGTAAGACCCTGGAAAGGCTTCCAAATGTTATTGGGGATGGGGAGGGGAGAACCACACCATGAAACAAGAGGAAATATGAGCTGTGCAAGACTCTTCACATTATGAAACTCAATTCTCTTTTATTCTTTTTACCAGATTAGCTGTATTGTTCAACGACAGGGAGGGGAGGTATATAAATGAACAGTACTGACTACAATGTTGCTTTCACTTCTAAAAGTATTGCAATAAATGTTTTTACAACAAATATATGGCCTGGAACCTGCTTCTTGCTTAAATCAAGCAAATTCTGAGGATGACCCATGACCACCAGTGCAGATTAGAAAGAGATAAAATACAGATTTAAAACAAAATGCAATATATGAACACACAAAGCAGAATCACACGCAAGCTTAAGGAGAGGCTTAAGGAGGTTGCTTCAGGTCACTGTCTAGTATTCATCTTAGCAGACAAAATCCCCATCCAGTTAAACAAGATGCAAATTCAAAAAAGGAAACAAATCTTAATTCATTCCCCACAATCCTCAAGTGGTCTGCTTTCCTGCCCCCATCCCTACATTTGATGGGGATACTGAAAATACTTTTATTTGGCCGGTGACCACTTATGATTCATATGATCAAACCACTAATATACGCAAATGACATTCATCATTACTGTTACTTTGCCCATCACCCTACACTCATGTCTCTGTTTATCCATCTATTGGATTTGTCAGTCCTACATTGTGAGTTCTCTAGGGCCAGGCAGGGACTGTTTTACTTGCCAGTACACTGCTTTGGTCCCTGATTTGGACCTGAAGGCACTATAAAAGCCATCTCAGACCCTGCCACTTCCCGTTGCAGCCCCGTTCCTTCTCCCCAAAACTAACACCATCACTGAGTCTCTCCTCAGTATTGCTAACATCAAGCAATAAAAAGCTGCAAGTCAGGTCTAAAAAACCATGAGATCGGTTTAAAAAACCATGAGACTTAAAATAAAGTATATTTATTTAATTATAGTTTATGTTCTTTTACTTGAGTCATGTTTTCAAGCTTTTCTCCACAACAGAACTGTGAGAAGCTGCTTTCTGTTTTATTAATGAAAGATGAGCTTGTCACATAATCAGAAGATTTCAGAAGATGGGTTTATACACACACATATACATACATATATAAATAACACAACTACTGTGAGCCCCAGGATAAAAAACTGCAAGAGTATAACAAGCCCCCAGCTCTAGCTTAGCAGAATTTGATTTTTATTTATTTATAATTCTGATGGATATCAATATGTATTTTAAAGATTTTTCTACAAAACGTTTTATCCATTAACATTTTCACAGTGCAGGAAATTATGGGGGAGTCGGACAATAATTATTTAATGACAGCTGTCGAGAGTCAAAAAGTTAAAGCTTTGCCACAAAAACAGACACCATCATCTGTCAACATATACAAGTAAAAAATCCTTAAATCAACCTCTAATATGTTCCCAAATAGCATTTTTCTTCCCCTGTCTGAGCTGTACATTTTGATTGTTACTGATGGAAATATTTTCCCCCAGGGCTTGCCACGTGCATTTGGTGAAATCAATGTTTTCCAATATAAATTGATTCCCTCCTAGTCTAGCTATGCCAACCAGGCTCTCATGCCTTGGGCCTTGCTGCAGGAGCCAAGCCCCATCAGATTTCAAGCCCCACAGGCCTGCAGGGCCTAGAAGAGGATGTAGGAGCTGCCATGGAGCTCCCCCAGGCCCAAGCTCTCCTGCTGCTGGGCTTCTGCCTCCCCCAGCCCTACAGTAGCTGCTACTCTCAGCCCCCAGGGTAGGGTGACCAGATGTCCCAATATTTGGGGCTTTTTCTTATAGAGGCTCCTATTACCCCCCCATCCCCTGTCCCCATTTTTCACACGTGCTATCTGGTCACCCTACCCCAGGGTCAGCACCCCTCAGTATCAGACCCAGCAGGATCTCCAGCCCTCCCCAGGGGTCCACAAACACCACAGCCCTGCGGGCCTTCTGATGGCCACCATCTTTAAAACAGCTTTTCACTTAAGCACCAAGGCGGGGGAAGAGGTAACATCGGCCTTCGAAAATGCCCCTCTCAACATGGCGGGCAATGGGGAGCTCTGTGGTCACGTGGTATTGACTTTCTCAACATGGCGGCCCAGGCTGAGCGGACAATACCGGAAATGCCCTTCTCAACATGGCGGAGGTCGAGCTGGGAAAGACAGGCAATGACCCTCTCAACATGGCGGCTAAAGTGGGCTGTGGCCTATATCCTTCTCAACATGGCGGCTGTTGTTGACCGGAGTACCAGAAATAACCCTCTCAACATGGTGTCCGGTGAGCAACCGTGCAGTGTCTGCGGCTCGGTAGCTGCCGGCCAGGCCCAGCCCTGTCCCAGCTACGGCGGAGCGTGTGTCCGTGGGGAGGGCTGTCCTCCCCCGCACTGTAGGATGGCCGGGATCCAGCCCTTCCCGGTCCCCTTGTGACGCGCCAGGCGCTGTTCCCGGTTAGATGGCGGCCGAGGCTGCCGGGTGCTCCGGAAGCGCTTGAGGTTCGGGGCGGGCCAGGGTCGGAACATGGCGTGGAGCTGCTGGGCCCGGCTCTGCAGCCGAGAGGCGCTGAGCGGCCGCCGCTCTCGGGGCCACAGGTACGGGGGGGAGCGGCCCGCCCGGGACGGGGTCCCGGCTGAGACCGGTGCGATGAGCCGGGTGGGGGGTCCGGGTGCTAGGCATAGGGGACGGGGGCGTGCCGCCGGTGGCTGCAGGTGGGGAGGGCCCCGGCGCCTTGCGGGCTGTCCCGGACCCCTCAGGCTCTGCGCAGTCCCCGTGCTGTGTGAGGAGCGCCCCGGCTCCGAGCTGGGGGCTTCCGACTGGCGAGACCCAACCTGGCCTCTGCCCATCTCCCTGTGCCCTGGCGGGGCCCTGCCTCTGCAGCCGGCCGCGAAATGGCCCAGGCTCGGCTGGGGGCGCGTTTCAGAGGAAATGCGGAAAATCTCTTGAAAATCCGTCCAGGGAGTGGAGCCGGGCTGTGTAGAGCCAGTGTTGGGCCTAGGGGTCTCCCAGCCCGCACCTGGCGCCCCTTGGCTAGGACAGGCTCAGACACACCCCGGGGCATTTAACCGAGTGAGAGGACTGTCTGTAACGGTACATACGTCCCCCGGTGGTAGTGCAGTGCTAAGATCGAGCATTAAAATGAGGAAATTCCCAAAGTTGAAATTCCTTCAGCATTAACTCAAGCGCACTGCCATCCTGTGGTGTTATTTTAACCATATTACTTGATAACAAGGTAATGCACTGAGGCAGGGGTGGCAACCTGTGGCTCTGGAGCCACATGCGGCTCTTCAGAAGTTAATATGCGGCTCCTTGTATAGGCACCGACTCTGGGGCTGGAGCCACAGGTGCCAACTTTCCAATGTGCCAGGGGGTGCTCACTGCTTCCCGCACCCTCTCCTGAGCCTGCCTGTCCTCACTTCTCTCTCTGCCCCCCTCCCCCCATGCCACGAAAACATCTGATCAGGAGGTGCTGATCAGTGAGGCTGCCAGTGGGTGGGAGACACTGGGAGTGGGAGTGGGGAGCTGATGGGGGGCTGCTGACATATTACTGTGGCTCTTTGGCAGTGTACATTGTTAAATTCTGGCTCCTTCTCGGGCTCAGGCTGGACACCCCTGCATTAAGGATTACACTTGAAGTAACACAAAATTAACTTGGCCGTTCCAGGGCCTGAAACTTAAGCTGCTTCCCAGCAGCTCCCCAGTCTTGGGAAATGAATGGTCTGAGTTGGTTTCATAACACAGTGAGGAACAGAGTTGAACCATGTTGCCAGAACTTTTAGCTAGTATGCTGATACCATGATTATTGTATTTTCGTATCCTTATGCAAGCTAGACTGGAAAATAAGAGGCTGAAACACACAATAGCTAGTTTCCCCGTTCTGTGAAGGGCAACGTAAATCCTGAAGCAGTGGAATGCAGGTGAAGAACACACCTCTTTACAGTTGTGTAAAGAAGTTAGCTGATCTATCTCCCCCTCCCTACCAAAAAGTTTCTGTAACATCTAGATAATAAGACGGTTTGGGTTTAAATAGCGATAGTTAGTCAAAATTGACTTTGTATATGGCACCCATTTCTTCTTTTCCCAGGTTTACTTTATATACACAGCAGAGAAATGGATTCAAAAGAGTGCCACAAAAGACTGAACCTCGAAAACCAGACCAAGAAACTGGCTCCAAACCATACAAAAGTAGTCTGTCTCCTCCAGTACAGGAAACAATCTTTTATACTTCTTCCCCTTCACTGAAGCATCTTGTGAAGCCATTCTTTTTCACAATTGGGGTAATTGTTTGTGCCATCATGTTACATGTATTAGAAGTAGCTTTGATGCGGAGTTACTTGTGCAGGTGACTGCAATAGAATTTGTGCATGGTAAACGAGAGTATTCCATTAAAAATAATGCAATAAAATCACAGAAGCTTATTGCATGAGGCTGTATACCCATCACCATCAAGGTACCTTTTCTTAACTTTTTAAAACCGTTTTCTCAGAACATTTTTTTTTCTATTTTAACTCACTATCTTCAGTGGGTTTGGTGGATTTCTTCCAGGAGCAGTATTACCAAATGGTTACCCCATTAATCTGGGAATTCCTACTTAAATAGTCCTGTGTTTTTATAATCTGTACAGTGTCTTGCTTGCCAGTCCTAAGGGAGCTGCTATCCCTTTCAAAGGGAGAGAATATTCTTGAATACATTTCCCATACATATACTATTCAACTAGCTTCTTCTTGAGTCCTGAGTGTTGCCAGTACTTCTCCCTCTCCCGAGTAAGGTTAAAAAAAAAATCATCCTGAAGCTAAACAAACTGCTAGCTGTTTTCGTATACTCTACAGCCTTTTTGAATCATCCTTGAAAGTCAGAGTGCCTTTCCTGTTGCATCCCAGTCAGTGTCCCATCCTCTGGTACCTGTTTCCCTTCTCCCTCCAGCCTGAAAGAAAGGGAATGAAGACCTCTCCTAACAAAGTAGAAAGGAGCGGAAGGTTTAGCACACTGACCCTAAATTTTGCAACAAGACTACTGATTTTTGTGGCACAGTATTATCTAATCCTGCCACTAACTGGCAGTTAGGCAGTAGCCTGCAATGTCTGGCAAAATAACCATAAAAAGAAGGCTCTTAGTAATATTGATTGTATTAGACAATATGTAATATATAATTCAGTGAGAACCTCACTTTTTGAATGTTTTTAATAGTATTCATATGTAAGTGCAGTAGGACCACGTGCTATATTTTTTAACCTAAAATTGTGTAAGAGTTTGTCTTCCATATTAGACTTTGGTTTTGAATGCATCTGATGTGACATAGTTTACAGGTTGTGCATTTGGATCAGCTGCTATTTGGCAGTATGAATACCTAAAATCCCGGGTCCAGAACTATTTTGATGAGGCTCGAGCAGATTGGATGGATAAGTTACAACCTCAGAAAAGTGGGGACTTCAGAAAGCAGGTACACAGAACATAACTATCTTGTGAATTTAAATGTGGTCAGTACAGTGATTATAGGACTATAATAACATGTATTGCATATGAATAGTGTGCTTAGTGTTTTACTGAATATGATGCTTGACCTACCTCAGTAATGTAATCCTGGACGACTGCCACATGGTCAACGCTGGATACAACAAAGTAAAAATCAGGCATGTATATTGATGCCTCTCTAGTATTGGTTGAATACAGTAATAGATATTTGTCTGTCTTATTTTAAAGTGCCAAGAATTTGACACTATAACAACTTTTCTAATTAGTGCTGTATGGCAGAAATGACACAGGTTTGCATAACAGGATGGTCTGTTCCCTTTAAGGGTCAGGGCGGTTGGGGCTGGGCAGCCTGCTCTGTTCCATTATCAGACCCAGTTGGGAATGGGTCAGCTGATTCCTATATAAAGGACTAGGAGAGCTGCAGGAAGGAATTTGGCTCCCCTGGCTGGCTCTGGAGCAGTGGGGAGAGATGTGTGGGGAGAGATGCAAGGGGAAAGGCCACTGGTGCCATCCAAACTGTTTCGATCTGCAGGATAACTGTGTGTGTTACTCTGAGTTTTGTATTTAAAGAATGAAACTGGACCCTGAAGGAAGGGCCTGAACAGACTTTTGGGGTTGGCATTAGTCCTCTCTGGGCTGGGGGAGACAGGCTTGCAGTTTACAGTGTGCTATATGTTAATTCAAAAGGAAGCTGATTCACAGTTAGCACAGATGAAAACTAAGCATTTGGGAGTGCTATCAAATAGATACAATAGCAGCCTGCTTCTTGCCCCCCCCCCCCCAAAAAAAAAAAATGGACAGGAGACCAATAGTTCTTGGTATATCTAATACATCTTAAAATGCCACTTGCTTTTTTATCGTGTTAGAAAGCGTAGTGTTGCCAACCCTCAGTGTTCAAAAATCATTGGCTTAAAAATCATGAGTTTTTTTTAAAAAGCATAAATATGAGATTCTTGTCTTCTTGGTTTTGAGCCTTTAAGTTTCATGTTTTCAAGCTTTTCTTTGCAATTATAAGGACTAGAAACATTTTTATAAATGAACATTAAAAAAAAAATAAATTCCCAAGTAAACACCTGACTCCAGAATTTGTGACTTTAAGACAAAGACCAAATATTGCTCGACTTATGATAAAAGTATCAGTTGGCAACACAATCACTTGCACTTTACTGTAATATTTTCATTTAAAATATAAGAAATGGGTTCTATACATTATGTCCACAGAGAGGTTGGTTCCCTGGCAAGCAGTAGAGCAGATCTGATTCCTAGTCCTGGTCTGTTTCTTCCACTATTAGTAGAGGTGAGTGTCAGGTGCAGAGGCAATGTGCCCTGAGCAGGATGCAGAGGAACCCTCTGTGTCCGTGATGTGAGTTGAATACACTGTAGTACTCCTGTCCAAATGCATGTCTTGTCATCTGTGTTCATATGAATGAGATGTAACATGAAAGCTGCCCCTTAAGAGTATTTAGACATTGTGAAGAAAACAAGTTTAGTACTAAACTATCTGATAGGAAAGGGTTGCTGGATTCTAATTAACTATCTAAAATATAATAAACAAAACTACTATGTCATTGCTAATACATTTTAAAAAAATCCCCAGCCCTTATCTCCATCTGGTAATACAAGTATCCTAAATTCAGCATCCAGTACTAGTTTGTAAAGGCATGTAGGCTTTTTGTATTACACAAAATCATGTTTGCATAATGGCCATACTGGAGGACATGATGGGGAGAAAATATTGATGTGGGTTTATCCAGATCCTAAGCCAGATAATTAAGGAAATGGGGAGAGATGGAGTGATGACTTGAACAATTAACTGAAATCTTATTTGGTCACTTTTTGTCCAGCCTCTAGAAATAATATATGTAGCACCTCGGAGTGTTTTAAAACTAAGTATAATCAAACCAACAATTTAAAAAATGTATTTAAAAGGGACTATTAGAAGGGGACAGAGGGGAAAAAAGCACATTTAAGAGCTGCCTGAGGTCATAATAAATTTTTCTAGAGGGTTTCTTAGAGATGGAGGGAGGGATGGGCTGAACTGGATACAAGGGGGAGTGACTGTCACATCTTGTGAGCTGCTTCTGTAAAAAATGACCTCTGGCACAAAGGTGGACTCTCAAAGGTGGGTGGTGTGAGACCACAAATAGCTGTCAGCAAGAGGCTCAGCCTAGGAGATAAACATAAATATTGTGGGCTAGATCTTCATTGGTATAAACTGATATTGTTCTTTGGAATTCAGTGGAGCTATGCTGTTTAATACCATGTAAGGACTGGATCTTTTTCTGTAACAGGATATTTAACTGAAAGAGGAGATATTAAAAAATATATGAACAGAAAATTAACTTTTCTATAAAAAAACTAACAGAATGAATATTAGAAACGTATATTTACTCAATCCTTCTGTTAAAAAGAACTTGATTTTTATGTATTTATTTAAGTGAAACCTTATGTGATTTTTCAAATAGTTCTGAGATCCTGGCTATTTTGGGAGGTCTGTGAATACTACTTATTCTCTTTCAGGTTAACATGTGGTGGAATAGCCTGAGTGAGGGTCAGCGGACTGTGACAGGTTTGTGTTAGCTTACAAGTATTAGACATTCACAGGAAGAGAATTATGGCAAACAGGTACAGTATGTCACAATAGATGGCTTTCATACCATGCTTATCGATTGTAAGAAACAAAGCAAATCTCTGTACGTACACGCTATTTTCATTCCCCATCTGCCTCTGGTACCCATTCCTTCTCACAGAACATATTTCTTGTACGTTAAATGAAATCTCCACTAACTTGTTTGGAATATTGTGCAGTGTTAGAATCTTCTTTCTACTACATGTATAGAAGTACAGTAAAAATTGAGCATGAGGGACCCTTAGAAGCAGCATAGTAGAGAATTTCTATAACCTTGCCAGAGCCTACCAGCACAAACTGTGTTGAATAGTAGTTGTCCTTCAAGTTAACAGCTTTCTCGTGAGAGGCAGATTTACTGTGTACTACTGGGTAAAATAGCTATCTTTTCCTTTTTCTGGAAATGTTCTTTGTCATCCAAGGAATATCATGCAATTTTATGCACCATAACCAGAAATAATGGAAACATATTGTAATTTTTCTTGATGTGTTGCAGCATAAACTCACTGCTTCCTGTTAATGTATCACGACTGCATACACAATATTGCAAACAGGAGGTAGCTATCTTGTTGTGTATCAGATTTTGTTACATAATATATAGGTATTTATATTTAACAGGAATAACCTGGAATCTGCTTAATACAGAATTTTTGAAATCCCATTAATAGACATCTCACAAAGTTATTCAGATTAAAGAGAAAAATAGATGAGAAATAGCTAATTTATGGCATTTAATCTAGAACATGCTCCATGTTATGTATGCTGTATGTAAAAATATTTGAGTACCTGAGCAGATTTCTATTAACCATATTGGAGCCTAAATAACCAGTGTTTCCATTTGTCATAAAATATATATTTATATAGAAAAAGTAAATCTTTAAGGACAAAATATTTAAATTGGTTTCAACCACTTTCTACCTCATTTTAAAGGATTGCTCAGTAGTCTAAAAATAAATTGCACTTAAGTCTTGAATGTTTAGGGCAATTATAGCCACATTAAAGAATTTCAGCTAAATATAAGGTCCCATCAACTGGTTTTTATACAATATTTTGGATTACTCTTAACATCCAGTTTAAGCTTTTATTATGCCAATGTTCTGTCTGGAAAAATGAGGTGGAAAATTAATCATGCATAGTCTCTGTGGTGAGTCTCAATATAGGGTTAATATTTATATTTAAGGCCCTACTTGAACTGCAGGATGGTTGTCAAAAAATCGCGGCTGAATTGCAGACAAGTCATGGAAAATTGCAGAAAAGTAATAACGGACCTTATTTGTAGTAATAAAGCCCATTGTTACTGTTCCGCAAATTTCCACTGTCGGCAGCCGCCCAGGGCTCCCATTGTCAAAATTGAATTTCCACAATATTGCAAATTAAATAGGGCCTTGTACATATTACATGTAAATTTAACTGGTGTACATTGAAACGTTTCAAACATACTTATCTGCCATGTTGCACCAGAACAGATTTGGAATTATTTTGCAAAAATTCCTTGTCGAGGTCTTCTATAACTTGGTGTTGTTGACCACATAATGAAATCCTTGGTTAATAAGAAAGCACTGTAGCGTAGGATAGGCTCTCTCTTAAAGCTAAAAGCAGCTCGTTTGAGTTCAGCAGGAGTCTTTCAGATAAGTCATGAAAATAAGGAATCTAAGTTTTTACAAGGAAAGACATTATCTTCCCCTCCCCAGTAATGCCAGATTTATAATATAAACCATTCAGATCTTTAAAAACAGCTTTATGTGCTTTCCAGGGCCAAAGCTATATTTTAATTTGGTTTTAGGTGTCTGCAAATACTTGGAAACCTGCAAGGATGTAAACTTTCATCTGTCTGCTCTCAATCATTTACATTCTTATCTAAATTATAACATGATCAGAATTAAAACTTAGTAAGTAAACAACAGTTTGTAAATTACAAAGACAAATTTGTAGTTAGTTGCAGATTTCTTGGAAGTGACTCACTGGACAATATACATGTGTGTATTTTGTGCAACTAAAGGAATGCTGGTTTAGATACAAAATGTGACTTCTGTTAAAAGGGTGTTCATTGTGTAAAGATTTCTGAATTCCAGTTCATTTTTCTTAAAATCAGAAAATAAAATTTAAAATTGCCATTTTTATATGGGAGTAGCAAAGAAAAAAACAGATATTGTTTTAAACATGGCCCTGAAATTCTGAAACTTGGCTACCAAGTGCTTTGTTCTTGTATGTTATATTCATACTTTGTCTCTAAATTGGATTTTTTTCTTACTAGGTATCATAGCTGCAAATGTCTTTGTGTTCTGTTTATGGAGAATCCCTTCTATGCAGCGGACAATGATAACTTACTTCACATCTAATCCAGCCTCTAGTAAGTGTACTATGTGTGAGTATGTCTGTCCGTCCAATTCAACAGGCGGGTCTTGTGGAGGGGTAAATTATAAATAATATATTTATAGAAACTTATAATTTTTTTTCCCAAAAATATCTTTGCTAGAGATTATAATGTCAAGGTTTTAAGGTCCAGTATCTTCAAGTGTGCCACGCGGAACAACAAATGGCTTATGTCTTTGCAAAGGGGGATTTCTCTCATAGTGGAATGAAGTCCTAGCTCAGTCCCGATTAGTACTCTTCCTGGTCTTTTGGGAGGAAACAAACCATTTTTATGGTTCTTAAAAAAGCTGTTTAAAGTTGTTCTTGATTTTTAACATTAATATTCCCTGCTGATAGGAATTAGTGGCCTGAGTGCAGGGGAGATGGACACCACCACACATGCAGAATGGTGTGCATTTGCTTATCACTGTATAACAATTGTATACTTGCCAATGAGCATGAGAGGGTTCCTACAAGTCCTTTGCCACAGAGCGGGCCTTTTCTCCACATGAAGGAGAATCTCAGCTTTCATTCGTGGTAAAATAGCCTTGAAAATGTTAACTGTAGGATCTAAAGGCACAAGCAGTTGGGGTCCATTTCCAAAATAGAGACAGGGATGTGGAGGAACATGAGGGAGGAGGCTCTTCTGGTACCTCCCATCCCCTTACTCCTGCTGTAGAAGTGGAAACCAGATGCTTGTGCCTGTAGGTTGGGATTTGGAAAGCCTAAGGGAATTAGACAACTAACTGAATTTCAATGGGAGTTGGACTCCCAGTTGACTTAGGGTCCTCTGAAATTTTCAGACTTTGAACTAGAGATTGGTTTCTATCTATTTAGCTTTACCACTGCACTGAATAGGACTAGACATTTTTTAAAATGAAAGCTAAGATTCTCCTTCGTACCTTAACCTAAGCAGTAATAATTGGACACAACCCTCAATGGAAAAAAAGCGGCTTTCCCACTCTCTCTAAAGAATGGTGTGGAAGCTTTTGAAAAATCCATGTAATCTCTCCACAAGGAAATCTTTAATGTACTATTTCACATGGGTGACCGATTTCTTAAAAAATGTTGTATGCTTTAGCAGTCACCACACTGAATCTGATGCTCATTACACTTCTTGCATTTTACACATTTAAAGCTTATGAAATATTTAAGAAGTCTGATAACTATATTTTCTCTTGCTTGTGTTGTAAGTACTTATGCACACAAATGAAAATAAAAATACTAAAATGGCCTGTATTTGTTCTTCATTAACCACTAGTTTTCTTCTTCTTGTAGGAGTCCTTTGCTCTCCCATGCTGCTCTCTACATTTAGTCATTTCTCTTTGTTCCACATGGCTGCAAATATGTATGTGTTGTGGAGTTTTTCTTCAAGTATAGTTTCTCTTTTGGGACGTGAGCAGTTCATAGCAGTGTACCTTTCTGCAGGTAATTTTTCAAAAGATTAATACTTTAAATAAATGTCATGACCATATTTATGCAGGTAGGAAGTGAGAGAAAGATTAATATAGCTGTAGACACTGATTCTTCATTCCCATAGGCCAACCCTGGTGCTTATTTTAATTATTTATTTGTATTACCGTAGTATCTAGTAGCCCTAGTCATAGACCAGGACCCCATTGTGAGGCACTGAACAAAAAACAAAAAGATGGTCCCTGCCCGCAAAGAACTGCTGCAGAACAGAGCACTAATCACATTGGAATGTTTCGTTTTAGGCTGTCAGAGTGCAAGCCTTGTATTTAAAGTCATGCTTCATCACTGAACTATTAGTTTTTAACAATGTCTTAGGACATCCTTGAGATGACAGCCAAAACTACAACCGTTTCTCGTCTCCATGCCTACCTCCTTGAAAAATTAAGTTAAAAAGTTAGTGTACAAGATACCTCATGCAAAGATTTAGGCAATGTTTTGGCACCTCCTGCACCTCACTTACATTCCCGATATGGTTTCTGACAGTAATTTCACCTTTTTTAGGTGTTATCTCCACATTTGTCAGTTACATCAGTAAAGTAACTACTGGAAGATTTGGACCATCACTTGGAGCTGTGAGTAGCATATGTTTTAAAATCCCCAAATACTATATCTCATAGCATCACTAAAACCAGTTTCAAAGCACTGTATTCCACAGCTTTCTTAGAAACCAGGGATATGTTGGCTTGGGAAGGCAGGCAGGAGTTATCAGCATTGAGAATAGTCAGTCATTCCTGTGCAAGAACTGAGCCATCCTTTCAAGCCCTTGGTACCAGCAGCCCAGAACTAATGCTGCTAAATGCTAATGGGTTGTAAACTAGTGCTTAGCAGCAGGATCTCTTGTCACTGAGTAGATAAATTGTAGAACTGAACTCACTGTTTTATAAAGATTGTTACATGAGACTGTAATGCATAATTATGCTCTAATTATTGAAAATCGTATGCTTTTTGAAGAGGTCACAAGAGATCATACGATCAGGGACAGTAGAAATTAACAAGTAATGCTGGTGAAATGTTTCCCATCAACTTCCTTCCCAAAAATATAGAACTTTTGCTTGAGCACACTCAATTTGTAGAATTTCTGAATTCTGTAGAATTGGCAGGAGTGGTATGCTTATTTTCTCTTCTGCTTACATTTTTTCTAAATAAAAATACACAAAGCTTTGGGATGTTTTAAGGCACTCAACCAACTTATAGTAAGGGTAAAGTGAACTTGCTGCTAGATCAAGATTTATGGTTTTATTTGTATCATGTTTTGGTTTTTTTAAAAAAACATTTTGTTTTTCAAACAGAGGAAGGAACTTGTTGGACAACTAGAGCTGCAGTTGATAAGTTGAATTTCAATTAATGCCATATACATATGGTTCACTTATCCTGCAAATCATTTGTATTTGCTACAGAGTAACTTTCTCACTGATCAGGTATTGATATTACCACACAAACTGACATACAGTTTAAGGTCTTGTCTATGCATGGACTTGGAAGATCCAATGGGCTTATGTTGTTAGAGGAGGGGTTTGCTCCAGTTTCTTTGGCCAAAAAAGTTGTCATCTGCTGATGTCCAGCATGCTTTAAACTGAGTGGTTGCATTCACCTTAGCTACAGTTATATTTCAGCAGTACTAGATTATATTTCTAAAATTCATTGGGATGAAAGGCACTATATTAACATCGGTTATTTATGATCATTACAAATGAAATGGTTTTCAGAAAAGGTTACAACTCGTTTTTTAGAGGTCAGACAATGAGGACATAGGAAGCAATTCTTTCAGCTTTTATACATTCAGATCTCAAAATAAAGCCCTGATTTCTTGATTTATTTCTATACTAAACAAACCATACTGCTTTGTGCTTTGGGACTTGTCATAGGGCTGCATTGGAAAAGAAAGGCAGCAAGCAAAATAGGTCCACATACTGGAAAAATAAATTTCCCTTGAGTAATATCTCAGCTCACTTTCATGTATTTTAATGTATTTTCAGTCAGGAGCTATAATGACTGTCCTTGCAGCAGTATGTACGAAGATGCCAGAAGCAAAACTAGCCATCATACTTCTTCCAATGTTCACATTTACAGCAGGAAATGTAAGTGCCTTTGAATATCAGATGAAATTATATACTTTAAATATTTTCCTTTCCCTACACTCTAATAGTATCTGAATGTCTCCTTTTAATATGAGTATACAAACAATATCTAATTTTTATTTAAATACATGGTCATGGCTTGAAGTCTTAGGGCCTGATTTGCTGTTGCTCTGAACTTTATGTAGTCATTTACACCAATGCAAAGTGGGCATAAAATGTTGTCATTCTCATTTGGTAGAGTTCTGCACTGACTCTATTCTCGTGTATAATGACTAGACAAGATGCAGAGCAATCAAGGATCTGGCTTGTTTTCAATTGCTTGTCTCTTGGTTGTTTTTTTTAAATTGTATAGAGCTTAACTTCTAGATTCCTTCCTGGAGGTGTATTTCACACCAAATTCTTAAAGCTGCAGAAAACGGGGGTAGGGAAAGGGAACCCGATGCCTGTGAGAAAGTATAACAAAATTGTGTACATGCACTGTGGGAACCTATTGTCATTCAAAGTGTGCCACATAGTGTATGGCTATGTTTGTTAGGGATAAACTGCAGGACCTAGTTACTTATTTCAGGCAACTTTTAAATGAACTGTGTGAAAAATAACTTGGGGGCGAATAAGAAAGAGGAAATCTGCAGAGGCAGATCTGAGAATTTAATTTTCCAGAAAAAATCATTTCTAATCACGTTGCTGTAGATGCTTGTCTCCTGCTTTAGACGCTTCCTGCTGCTGTGTCTAAGAACATAAGTTTTAGGAACAGGAATAAATCCCTGGGGCTTTTGTGGCATATTCTTAATATTCTCATTCTTTGTTTCCTTTCCCCGCTTTTAAAAAATATATATATTTTAGAAACTCATTCATATATCTTGACTCCTGAGTTAAGATGCATAGTCATCTTTTTTGTATGCTACTGAACATTGTTTTAGTAATGATAGCTTAATTGCTGTATTTAAACCCATTTTAAGACAACTGGGTTTAAAATATGCACTGTAAGGGAATGAGTTTACTGAGATTTCTATCAGTTTTAAATTTCAAAGCATTTTTTAGGCCTTGTCTACACTGTGCAGTAAAGCAGCTTTCTTTACTGCACAGTTGTAACTCCCGAGGTGCACGCAGTGCCAGGCCACTTAGTGCACAGAAACCGTGCATTTGCAGTGCTGTAAAAAAACCACCCCGACGAGAGGCATGCAGCTTTCTGTGCTGGGGCTATAGCATTGTGGTGCCCGTGTAGACACCCTGGTCGATTACAGCGCAGTGATTGGCGTCCAGGAGGTGTCCCACAATGCCTGTTTTCACCTCTCTGGTCATCGGTTTGAACTCTTCTAGCCTCCCTCAGGTGACAGTCATCCCCACCCCTTAAATTCTTTGGGAATTTTGAAAGTCCCTTTCCTGTTTGCTCGGTGATGCATGCAGTGGTCTCAGCGCATCTTTCCAGGTGACCATGCCTGCTCCATGTACCAGGTGATCCCCCACTTGGAGCAACGCTGAGCTGCTGGACCTCATCAGCATTTGAGGAGAGGACGCTGCACAGTCCCAGCTGCGCTCCAGCCATAGGAATTATGATACCTACGGACAGATTTCACAATGCATGACAGAAAGGGGCCATGACTGGGATACACTGCAGTGTATGATCAAAACGAAGGAGCTGTGGAACACCTACCACAAGGCGCGGGAGGCAAACTGCTGCTCCAGTGCTGCGCCCACAAGCTGCCGGTTCTATAAAGAGCTGGACACAATACTCAGGGTCGACCCCACCTCCACTGCAAAGGCCACTGTGGATACTTTGGTGGCTCACATGCCAGTTGGAGTGGACCAAGACAGGAGGAGGAAATCTTGAACGAGGATGTGGAGGGGAAGAGGGGCCCAAAGGCAGAGGACACCTTGGAGGTCAGAGATGCATGCAGCCCCGAGCTCTTCTCTACCCTGGAGGAGGCTAGCCAGTCACAGCTGTTGGAGCTTGGTGAAGTGCAAACAGGAAAGGAGGCCCCTGGTAAGTGGCTTTGATTTTGGGAATCACTGAAGAGAAGATGTTGGGGGCAGGAGGGTTGCAGAAAGCAGGGTTATGCCTGTATGATGCACATACCACCACATGCCTAGTCTGAGCGGTGGAACAGGCTGTTGATTGACTCCCTCGCATCACAGGAATCTGCCTCAAAGATCTCCACAAAACTCTCCTGGAGATACTGGGCAATCCACTGCAGCATTTGGCAGAGCTGCTTTGTTTCTTGCCCCATTAAGGGTAAATTTCCCGTGCCAATCTGCCGTCATGTGGGGAAGGGGGGGACAGGACAGGACCATTGCTGCACACAGGCAAGCCGCAGTCTTGGAGAAGACGCTCCCTTGATTCCCAGCTCCCCCTCAGCAGCAAGATATCTTCCATAATGAACACAGCCTGTGGAAAATGTGGGGACAGGAATGATAACGCTCCCCCCTTACAGTGCTGGCTCTCCCCAAGAGCCACGTGCCCAGTATACAGTATGGTCCTGGAACACTGATTTCCCCTGCCCCTGTGGTTACTCACCATTTTGGGGGTCTTGTGGCTTGTGTGCTTGCCAGGGGTCAGCCAGTTATTGATAGGTATGTGAATAGCAGCTGTGTTTTAAATCATTGAATTGGTGGTCTGTCGCAAACAATACTGATTCTGTAAAATGTTGCATTTTGGCTTCACAGATATGACTTTGGGAGCCCAGCCTCCCTCTCTATTATCTCCAGCTGAACGGCTGCGCAGAATTAGAAAGAACTAAAGAGGACTTTCTGTATGATGTCATGATACACTCTGCGGCTGAAAAACAAGAATTGAAGGAGTGGCGGGATGGCAAGAAGAGAGACCTAAATGAGAACGCGGCATGCCAGAACAAAGCCACGGAGTGGCTCTTAAACGTTATGGAGCGCCAAGCAGACATGCTCCAGGTGCTACTAGCACTGCAAACCAAGCAGCTCCTTACTTGCCCTCCCCAGCAGCCGCTGTCACAAAACTCTTTCCCATGCGCCCCCCCGCCCCAGACACCGCCAACACACTCTTATCAACCTCCTAGCTCCAGTCTGTACACACTACATTCCACTCCTCCCCCATCACAGTCCAGCAATACGGACTCCCAGTATCCACTGCACTCAACACCCATCCCTCTGCAGTTTGGCCCTGCTGAAGTACAGCACCCACTGCACTGTACTCCACAGGAGAAGGTTGGAAATGATACCTGGACATACACAAATCTTTTAACCGTTCCAGGACCCCACCTCCTCCTGGGACCCTCCCTTCCCCCATCCCCTTCAGTGCTGATGTGTGGGGGGGGGGTTGTCTCTTTCTCTCCTCCGGTGGTTGTTTTTTAATAAAAGAATTGTTTTGGTTTGAAAGCAAACAGTCCTGCAAAGCAACAGGCAATTTTCTTAAACCTTCAGGGTGCATCGTCTGCACCAATCACAATCACCTCCTAGCATTACAAGCACTGCACTCTAGAGCATAATAACAAATATTAGTGGCTTTCAGATTCAAATTGTTGCCTCAGGGCATCCCTAATCTTTATGGCCCGTGCTGTGCCTCCCTAATAGCCCTGGTCTCTGGCTGTTCACATTCAGCCTCCGGGCACTAAGCCTCAGTGGTCCAGCCCTGAGTGAAGCTTTCACCCTGCCCTTCACAAATATTATGGAGCATACAGCATGCGACTATAAGCATAGGAATATTGTCATCGGCCAGGTCCAGCTTCCCATATAGGCAGCGCCAGAGGGCCTTTAAATGGCCAAAAGCACAGCAGTTATTCTGCACTTGCTCAGTCTGTTGTTAGAACTGCTCCTTGCTGCTGTCAAGGTGCCCCGTGTATGGCTTCATAAGCCACGGCATTAAGGGGTAGGCAGGGTCTCCCAGGATCACAATGGGCATTTCAACTTCCCCTACGGTGATCTTCTGCTTGCAGCTTCCTGAACAGGCCAGTGTTCCGAAAGATGGGTGCGTCATGCACCTTTCTGGACTAGCCTGCTTTAATGTCCGTGAAATGCTCACAGTGATCCACAAGTGCCTGGAAAACCAAAGAGAAATACCCCTTCCGATTAACGTGCTAGGTGGTCTGGTGCCAGAATTGGAATATGCATGCCAGTTATTGCCCGTCCGCAGTTAGAGAAGCCCATGTGTGCAAAGCCAGCCACAATGTCACGCATGTTGCCCAGAGTCACGGTCTTTTGGAGCAGGATGCGATTAATGGCCCTGCACACTTCCATCAACACAAGTCCAACGGTCGACTTTCCCACTCCGAACTGGTTAGCAACCGAACGGTAGCAGTCTGAAGTAGCCAGCTTCCACAGTGCAATCGCCATGCGCTTCTCCAAAGGTAGGGCAGCTCTCATTCTTGTGTCCTTGCGCTGCAGGGCTGGGGAAAGCTCATCACACAGTCCCATGAATGTGGCTTTCCTCATCTGAAAGTTTTTCAGCCACTGCTCGTCATCCCAGATGTGTATGATGATGTGATCCCACCACTCAGTGGTTGTTTCCCGAGCCCAAAAGCGGCATTCCACTGTGGTCAGCACCTCTGTGAATGCCACAAGCAATCTCGTGTCGTAGCTACTACACATGGCAAGATCAATCTCGAAGTGCTCTTGCCTTTGTTGTTTAAGGAATAACTCCGCTGCCACTCGTGATGTGTTAGTGAGAGCAAGCAGCGTATTGGTCAACAGTGCAGGATCCATTCCTGCAGCCCAAAGAAGCAGAGCAGAGTGCACAGTACAAAACTGTAGAAAGATGGCACCAAACGTGGACGGAAGCACAGGGATTGCTGGGATGTGAAGTAATGCATCATGGGGCTTTGGGACAGGACCCAGGATGCCCCGCGACCCCCTCCATCTTCCCATAACTCTTAGCGGCAGAAGAGGAAGAGGTGCTCTGTGAGAGAGCTGCCCAGAGTGCACCGCTCTGAATACCGCTGCAAGTGTGAACATGGTATTGCGCAGGCAGCTGATAGTGTGAACACACAACAGCGGTTTCCCTTTAGCGCTCTCTGAGTGGCACTGTAACTGCCGGCCCTGTAACTCCACCAGTGTAGACACACCTCTAATCTAACCTTCAAGTCTTTCTTTAAACTTAAGTCTTGGAACTTTTGTTCTTACTGTGGGTTTTTTATGCAGATCTGTGTTGTAGTTTGCATCAACGCTTCAATGATCTCTTTCCTGAAACAGGTTTTAAAAAACATTTAGCTACACCCTGAGACACTAATGCCACTAGTTTATTTAATGAGTTTTTCTAACCTCCTACCTAGGGCACATCTTCACTGGAAACGTTAAAGCGCTGCCACGGCAACGCTTTAATGTGGCTTGTGTAGTTGTGGCACAGCGCTGGGAGAGAGCTCTCCCAGCGCTCTAAAAAAACCACCTCCACGAGGGGAATAGCTCCCAGTGCTGGTGCACGGTCTACACTGGCACTTTACAGCACTGAAACTTGCAGCGCTCAGGGGGGTGTTTTTTCACTCGAACTCTAAAACAGTGTAACCGTATCTGAGTTATTTCACTGAAAACCTCAGATTAGTTTAATCTCCTACACTGCCTCCATCAACAAGTTTATCATTTAGTTACATTTTCAAACTTAATGTACACCTAAAACTTAATTAATTCATGCTTTAGAGTTTAAAAAAAGTAGCTCCTTCATGAAACTTAATTATCCTTTGTCTGCAGTGTTGTACCCATGTTGCTCCCAAGATATTAGAGAGACCAGGTGAGTAAGGTAATGCCTCTTATTGGACCAACTTCTGCTGGTGAAAGAGACAAGCTTACACAGAGTTGAAGAGCAGCTCTGTATAGCTTGAAAGCTTGTCTTTCACCAACAGATATTAGTCCAATAAAATATCACCTCACCCACTGTTTCTTTAATTACACTGTGGCCACAAAAAAAACCCCAAAAAACCCTTTAACCATAATAGTCCAAATGTGAGAATGTAATTCTGACTCTCAGAATTGAAGGCAATTAATTATATGTACTCAGCAATAAACTAGGTACTAATTATTCTAGTTAATACTGTGGTAAATATGCAAACTGTTTCTCCATGTTACTGCTAGTGTATAACCCAAGAAACATGCACACTTGTATAAGTCTTAGGGCTTATAGTTAGTAAATTGCATCCACTAAAGGGTGACATACTGTTATCAGTACTTCTGCTTATACAGTAATAACCATTCTAGAATACCCTGTTCTTCTACTCTTAAATAGGTCTGATATTTCATCCAGCATCGGTACTAGTAGTAAATACTCAGTGGGTGAGAGGTTGAGGATGCTGTCCCACACCTTCCATCTAGTAGAGGCAAAGGCAACATGGTTGGAGGGGGCAGTATTTGGGAGCACAGACACAAATCTAGGCTGTTACTGCATAGAATGATTATGGCTTATATAGAACTGACCTGTGAATGAGATATTTGCCACACTTCCTTGATTGGTGTGATCTGTATGTAATGTTCCTTTTTACCAGTGATTTACCTCCTCTTCTGGCTTGACGTTGCAATAGAGCTGATATGTTTTTAAAATGTAATAAATGCACATTTTAGGTTTGTAGAATATTTTAATTAAATTATATTTACTGCCACATTCTTAGCCTCCTTTATTCTGTGGCTTCTGGTAGAAGTAGACTTCATGTATATTGTCTGGTGAGAAAACAGCAGGGCTAGAGTCTGCTCCTGTCTCAAGAGAAATCTTTATTTACGTAGTAAGTATTGTTGCATGTCATAGAGAATGTTCTGTTATTTAAATGTTTGCTTAATGGTAAATATGACACATTCCTACTGCTGGATATTAGAGACTGCTGCAGATTCTGCTCACACAATGCTTTGTTCATTTATAGGCTTTAAAAGCCATTATTGCAATGGACACCGCAGGACTTGTTTTGGGTTGGAAATTTTTTGACCATGCAGCACATCTTGGGGGAGCTCTATTTGGAATGTAAGTTTTTGTTATCTATTAACTTTATTGATTGTGTGCAAACAATTCTGTATTAGAAAAAGAGAAAATATTTAAAACCTTCTGGTGCATTAGTTTAATGGAGGACACACTGGACTAATGAAAACATCTTTTCAACTGCACAGCTCAGTAAAACTTCCCATGTCTCAATGTATCTCTTCTTATCAGTGTGGGTGGGCTAGTGAGCAACTGTGAGATCTGCTAGGTCAAATTCCATTGAAAAGCTAGTAATTTTTTTCGTTTGGTTGCATTGTCTCCCTGTGTGAAGCCTTCAAAGATTATCGCTAATTGGGTTGAAGCACTAGAAAATGTAGGAAACAATTCGGCATTGTGAGGTGTTGAACTAATTACCTAATCTGTCTCTCTGTTCTTTGCTCTGATAGAGCTCTGGTCTTGTCTAACTCCAGAGTTCCCAACCTTTTTCTTTCTGAGCCCCTCCCCAGGCTCTCGCTCTCCACCCCCCCAAAATAACATGCTATAAAAACTGCTCAGATGCTCAGGCTTCAGCTTCAGCCCTGGGCAGGGGAGCTCGGGGCTTAAATTTCTGCCCTGGGCCCCAGTCAGTCTAATGCCAGCCCTGCATGGCAGACCCTCTGAAACTGGCTTGCGGACTCCCAGGGGTCCATGGACACCCCGTTGAGAACCACTGGTCTAACTTACACCCTTAACAGTAAGAACCTTATTACACTTAAAATAAAACCCTACTTGATACTTAGTATAGCTGTATAAGAGCATGAAGAACTCAATGCAAATGGCAAAAGTTTGCCCAGCAGTTTTACAACTAGCTCATCAAAACATCTAAAAAGTCCTGAAGAAACTTATAAATTATCCCTTTCAGCCCCTTCCACATGCCTCTTAGCTGACAGCACTGTAATCAGAATGATTGTTCTTTTTATCTAAAAATGGCCAGTTAGAAATTCATATAATCTAAAGGAATCAGTGAATGCTTTCATCTTGGCCTGCAAATTTAGTTTCTTTCTCTTTGCTGTTTGTTGGACTCCTTAACACTAGCAAATTCTGAGCTACCGCATTCTCCTCACTACCTCTTCTCTTAAATCACTAACTAAAGCATTTGGTGTTAGCATATCATTTTGATTTGTCTATATCAGTGTTCATTATAATACAGCTTCTACACACACCATTGACAGATCTCTGATATTACACACAGGAGAGAGAAAATTAAGGCAACTGGGGTAAAAGTGGTCTCAAAAGCACATGTGCACTGACCGATTCCCATTCTCCTTTGCTGTCCCTCCCTCACACAGACCCACTCATTAGACTTGTAAATAATCAGTCCAGTCACTTCACCATTGAAGACCTAGGTTTGTATTCTAATTAGGTCACAGGTGAAATGAGTATTGTGTTATGTGCATAATCCCTTGTAGAAAATTGTCCATTCCACATAGCTTGGTGTGACCGGCAGTCTGTTCAGCAGAAGTTGAGGGCTGGTACAAAAGTGCTATTGCAAGTCAGGACTGAGATGCATTAGTAAAGAACTGTGGGGAGAACATTCTGCCTGGGTTCATCTAGCACTGTCAGTCTCTCCCTTACATGGTCCCTAACTTCACCATAATCTTCTGCTAATGCATGGTGCTGATGTTCATTTAAATGTCTGTGTGTTATGCCAGAAAAATTACTTCCAATGGATTACTTCTGCACCCATCCAGTTAGAGGAGGCAGTTTGCTTCAAATGAAGTGACTCTATTCTAGATTTTTTTTTCTGAGCTCATTTGCATATCAGGAAATGCCTCTACGGCAATATAGTTGGAATGCATTGACATAAGCAATATATACTATACTCTAATATTCTTTTAAGTGGAGTAGTACTTGGTGCAATTTTTTTGGCTACAGGAGATAGAAATTTGAGGTGCTAACTACTGTTCAACTACATGGGGGCAGGTGGAAGTACAGAACTGTGTAAAAGCAGCAGAGTGTCCTGTGGCACCTTAGACTAACAGACTTATTGGAGCATGAGCTTTCGTGGATGAATACCCACTTCGTCGGATGCATTGTATTCACCCACGAAAGCTCGTGCTCCAATTCGTCTGTTAGTCTATAAGGTGCCACAGGACTCTTTGCTGCTTTTACAAATCCAGACTAACACGGCTACCCCTCTGATGCAGAACTGTGTAAGTTATTAGGAGTAAATGGAACCAGAAAGCTTACCTAAAGTTGTTGGTGTTTTCTTCCAAAAGCTTATCAAACTTACTTACCCTATTAATTTCTATTACTGCTTCTTCTGGGTTATCCCATCTATTACGCTGTTTAACAGATATTGCAGTTATCATTGTTCTATCTCTTTCTTAACTTTAGCTTTGCGTGATCTAATTTCAGTTGAAATTTTGTTTTTGTTTTCAGGTGGTATGTAACTTATGGCCATGAACTCATATGGAAGAACAGAGAACCACTGGTGAAGGCTTGGCATGAAATGAGGTCTAAGAACCGAGGAAAAGGAGGTGGAGGATCTCACTGATTCTAATTTTACCGCCTGCTTATGCAGAAAATGGTGTGCTACTTGAAGACATGGAAGTGAATTGGTTCTGGAATTTTTTTTGCAACTCCACAGAACACCACTTAGGATGTGTAATTTCTAATGTAAACTACCCTTGCAAATAAATGCAGTTCAGCAGAGAATGAACTGATAAAGTTTATATCTGATTGGTTTATGAAGTAAAGGTGTGCATCATATTTTTAAAAACTATTTGACAAGAAGAAACATTTTTACTTAAGTGGCTGGAAGCTGAAACCAGGCACATTCAAACAATAAATTAAGCACAACTTTTGTTAACAGTGTTGGTGATTAACCATTGAAATAAACTACCAAGGGAAGGTGGAGCCACCCTCTCTTGATATCTTCAGATCAAGGCTGGATGCCTTTTCGGGAAATATGCTTTAGCCAAATAAGGTATTAGACTCAGTACAGGCATATGTGGGTGAAATTTAATGGCCTGTAATATAAAGGAGGTCAGACTAGATGATCTAATGGTCCCTTCTTGCCGTAAATTCTATGAATCTATGAAAAATACTGGCCTTCATTTAAATGTTAGTTGTACAGTAGCACTGACGCCTAGCCAAACTACATTAATAATGTTAAGAGTCTGGCTCATGCTCTGATGGCAGGCTCTTATTCAATGTATTCTAGCTTTCAGTTCTTTCTACTTCCAAGACATTATCAAACAATGCATTTAGAATTTGTCACTGAAGAATTTTTTTTGTCCTGTGAATGTAATTAGAACAATGGCCTGTTTCATGTTAGTTTGGATATTTTTGCCACGAGTTCTCACTGGAGACATTCCACCTTCAGCATTTCTCTCCCAGTGAACTGCATTCATTTAAAAAAAAAAAAAAAAACTTTCCTGTCCTATTGTTTCATTTAGCATTATTTTGAGGATTCTAAAATAGTAGCGTATGGCTCTGAGCTCGCCCATGGATGGAGAAGATGAGAACATGAAGCTGCAGCAGAAACTTCTGTGCTGTTTTTCTCATCACAGGCACTCATTGATAACTGGATGAATTTGAGATTGATCTGGGGTTTGACTCAAGAATCAAAATGGCTCCTAGTATGTAAATACTGTGCAGCACTAAACTGGTGGTCTGTGAGGGGAAGGGGGGGTTTGTTTTGCAAACGACTAATGTGGGCCCCAATCCTGCAATCATAGCCATGCCAGGTGCACTCGTGCCAGCAGTCCTAATTGCAATGGGGCACAGAGGTCTGTCTGGGAGAAGTAATTTGCAGGATCAAGGCCCTAATAAACCAGTTACCTATCTTTACTAGATGGGTTACACTGGAATGAAAATGTCTTTTGTGACTATAATAAGCATAAATAAAACGTACACATTTTTACTTTGTAATGAGGCATTGTAGAAAATACATGTAATGTCTACTTTTCCTGTTGGTGAACTAAAGATGGTGCTAAATAGCACCAAACATAATAAAAGGTGGAGCACAAAACTGATGTCAACTCCTTACCAACATATGCTGCTAACACCCAGTTACAGTCTTTGGTGCTTAATGTTATAAAACACAGGTTGTTTATATAGTGATGAAAAATACACCCGTGACTAATTTGAGGATTAAAAAAACAAGTTAATCTTAATTCTAAACTCTCAGAAAGTGATAGTTTAGTCTAATGTTGGGATCTAATGAATGTTTCTCGCACTGGTACTACTGACTCACGTGACTCAGAGGGAGCTCACTTTTCTGTGTGTACTCTTCCCATGTTTATTCCTCCTTTTTCTACTCTTCCTAGGGTTCTTCGTTAACATATTAAATCATACACACTTTTCAGGCTGCAGCCATACCTGTTATATCCAGTAGAGAGCAATAGTGCATCTAATGAGAAGCTATGTTGCACCCAGAAACAAAATGTGGCCGGGGGCGGGGGTGGCAGGACGACAGCCTGCAGCCAACACCCTCCAAGTAGTTACACACAGACTTGCAAATCTAACCTTCTATGACTTAGTATCTGTGAAGTTTGGTTTTGGGGCTTGTGACAGCAGTGGTTGTCAACTTTTTCCATATGGGCCCTGGCTCCCATTTAATGTTCCACTCTTCTGATTTCCATTGCTCTTGCCCATCTCCCTTTTTTTTCTTCCCTACTTCATCTTTACTCCATTCTCTCCCACATTTCTTTACCTTCTCAACTTTTTTTTAGATAGGGCTTAGGTACCCCCTCTAGGCTGCAGCCACATATTATAGCCAGTAGTGTTGTACTATCTATCCAGTGGTGTATATATGCAACCTAATGAAGACAGATATGCAAACCTAGCCTTTTACTATAGTTGTAGATACAGAAAATCAGTTCTGCGGGGGTTAACAGTAATGCCTAAACTTATACCATGAAGACTTGATCTTTTCAGAGAAACTGAGTGCCCACAGCTCTAAATGGAGTTTTGGGCGCTCCCGCTTATAAATATCAGGCCCTAAGTCATTTGCAGAGCAGAGAATTGAATGTTGCTCTTCCTATGCT